CCCTACACAGTATCTTTGAATTTTTTGAACTAAGAAAGAAAATTCAGATTGTTGAACCATCATAAAAGCAAAATGTTTTTTCAACTCTTAATTAAGTCTTGAAGCAATTTTAAGATAGAAACTTCAGTTAATTTAACCTTTATAATATACATTAATGATTAATCTGCTGAATTATTTAGGTACATAAAATATGTCATTAATTCCTTTATTTAATTGGCACACATGTCTTGTTGTAATATGAGACTTCTTTTTCTTTTACTTCCTAGCAAAGATTTTAGAAAGTGGTGCTCGTATGACATGTTTGATAGCAATTTATGGGTGGGGCCGCCAGTCGGGGCTAGAGAGAGAGTTATATATATATATATATATATATATATTAAATTTTTGGGTAAAGTATACTAACACTCCCTCAGGGTTGACAAAAAGACACAAAAATAAAATTTAGTCTATTTTGGGACAATAACACAACCCGTCAAGTTTCATACAATTACCAAAGACACCCCAATGATAATGAATTGACATTTTTGTCCTTTGACTTTTATACTAACCCATTTAAATATTGAAATTACCTTTATAACCTTAATAACCCATTTCTTTCTCTCTCTTCTCTCTTCCTTCGTCCTTCCATTTTTTTTTTTATATTATACACACACGCGCGTGTGTGTGTACACAGATACATAAATATACATATATCAACACTGTGTCAATGATTTATTCCATCATTATGTTATAGTGCATCAAGCAGAAGAGCCACATAATAAAACAAATGGAGAAAAAACTTGTTACTGAAATGATCGAATGGACAAATTAATAAAATAAGAAACGAAAAATTCTACTAAAATCATAAACAGCAGGCTCCCCATATCCAATTAACACAACCTAAAATTAATTAGAACATGTAGATCCAACTCATAAATTGGATTAAAAATATATTAAACAGGTCTTGCAAACAAGCCAAAAGCTGAATTTATAACAGTAAAGCCTCCATCTAATGCTGGAGTTATTTGTGAAAATAAGAAGTACTGAGAAATTTCATGGCTTAGAATATATCTCATAAGAATATATATATATATATATATATATATATATATATATATATATATATATATATATATATATATACTGTATAACTCACCCAAAATTCTTCATCGATTAGAGTCTCACGTGCCACAAAATACCCTAACTCAATTCTATTTTCTTGAACTAACTCTTCTATTTTCTTCTGCAACCCTCACTTTCTCTCTCTAATACTATTATCTTTCTCTCTATATATCGTTATGTTTGCAATCCCTCTCTCTCCTTCTCCCATTCAGGGCCAATTGTGTCCTTTTAACAAGTCAGCTTTTTTACCACAAATTTGAATTTAATATCAAGGGGTAATTTTGTCTTTTCATATGATTTAAGGCATTGTTTGGATGAAATTTTTTCAAGGGGGTGTCATTGTTCCAAAATTGGCTAAGTCTCATTTGTGTATCATTTTATCAAACCTAAGAGATTTGTGTACTTTACCCTAAATTTTTTTGTTAGTGTAGGTTCAAAAAAAAATTAGTATTGCCTGTGTAAGGTAAAAACGTACCTTATATTATATATATTTTTAAAAAATTTATTAGTATATAGGTTCAAAAAAAATTTAGTATAGCCTGTGTAAGGTAAAAAGTATCTTATATTATTTATATTTTTTTAATTTTTTTTATTAGTATATAGGTTTAAAAAAAATGCCTCATTGATGGTTGGTTTGTTTATTTATATTATATATTATTTTATATAATGTTTTGATCCATTTTTTTTTGTTTGTTTCCTTCATGGATCTACCTCCACCCCCACTTTTTCTTTCCTTTGAAATATGGCTCAATTTTGGGGCTTTTTTTATTTTATTTTTTTTATGTTTTTGCAGAATGCGAACACGATTCTCTGACTCAATCATGTCCATCCCATTCTCTCTTCTCTGAGTTCTCTCACTCTACACTTTTCTTTTCTTTTCTTTTTTTTTCTTTTTTTTCTGTTTTCAGATTGTATGATTTTGAATTTTTGAGCACTGTATCTCAAGAATCTCAATCGATTAAAGTTTAATATTAATTGAATAATTTCTAATATTATATATATATCAAATTGCACTCTTTCATAATTCATTTGTTTTTTTGTTTCAAGCTAAAGTTTGTGATCCAACTGTGACTATTGATTTCCCAACGACGGTGACAACAAGTGGAAAAGATCCAACAATAGAGACCATCAGATTTAGACCAGACAAACACCGATTCTGTTTTCATATTCAAAAATTATCTCACTTTACATTTTGATTTTTTTGTTCTCAGATCTATGATTTTGTGCACACTGCATCTAAAAAATCAGAGCGGACCGAGGTATCGTGTCTCTCTTCGTTTTTCAATCACTCAAAGTGCAATATTATTTTCCAAAAATAATAAATAAAAAAAAAATCAAATTGGTCTCTTTCAAGGACCGAATAGCGAAATATGCAATCAATTTTCACCAATTTTCGAAAATATAATTTTGTTTGATGATTGTGGTATTTTTTTTCATAAGCAAGTATTAAATCGTGCTATTAGTAAATGAATTTATAAACTAAAAGTGTTTATTTTTTAAAATTGAATGTTCTTTGAATTTTGACTTAATCTTATTTGCGTTTTTAAGGGGTTAGGGCTTTTTTTTTTTAAAAAAAAAAAAAAAAATCTTCTTGACAAAATTTTGCCTTATTCATATTTTTGTATGAATAAAATGAATAGTAATATTATTTTGGCTTAAAATAGTCTTATGGAAAAAAAGGAAATTTTGGCCCAATCACAAGATCCTGGCTCCGCCCCTGATTATATATGATAGTATTTGTTTGGGGACTTGATGAGTCCAAGCAAATATAATTGAATACTTCTTCAATGATAATTGACACAAGTAGAAAATTAAATCGTTTTTGTACCATATTAGTTATTCATTTTTGTTATTATAAATTTTTAAAGAAATATATAATTAATATATTATTTTTTTGATTTAATTTTTTAAGGGTTAACTTCAGTTACACCCCCTGAGGTATGTCCTAACTTCAAGGAGACCCCCCATGTTTGCAAAATTTCAGTCAGACCCCCTGTCAGACATTATCGGCTGGCAAAAAATAATAAGTGAATGAAATGACTAAATTGCCCTTTTGTCGTTTTCCTCTTTACACTTAACCAAACCAAAGTTTGTATAACTTTAACCCAATTTTGCTTTATCTTATGAACCAAACACCTTGTAATCACAGTGGCCAAACACTTCAATCCACTTTACTTCATTAACCCAAACTTAGGTTTTGGAAATTTCATTTTGTCGACTAACCCTAGATAGAGAGGTAGAGAGAAGAGATAACAGAAAGATATAACCCTAGGTTCGTATGTGAAGACATCGATTTTGGTTGATACATACACCGGATACGCTTGATCAAACAACATATCTACAGATAGTTGAAGGTTCGAAGGGGAAACATTTGTTTGATTTGAAGCTGTTGAGAAAAAATCGCGATTTAGAGGTATGGATTTTGTCTTTCTAAAAATTGATTTTGGTTTTAGTTGATAGGGGGTTTCGGGTTTGGAAAAATGGGTTTCTTTTTTACTATTTCTTTATTCGGTTGTTTTGGTTCGGGGGTTTAGGGTTTGTTAAATTTATATCTGTAATTTAGGATCTTGATTTGGGGGTTTAGGGTTAGTTTTTGAGTTTATTTGTTGGGTTTGTTGAATTTGTTGAATTGTTCGATTGTCTGTAAATTTAGGATCTTGATTTTTTTTCAATTTGTTTGTAAATTGTTCAATTTGGGGGTTTAATTTGAAAATGCATGAATTTGTTTAATTTATGTTAAAATGTCTGTAATTTGAAAATGCATGAATTTGTTCAATTTGTCTGTAATTTCTTTGTTTCAATTGGCCAGTGCCTTATTTATGCCATTTATTTTTATATTTCTTGTTCTTTAAATTATTAACAGTGATGGGAGATATTTATCATAATTTTCACGTGCACTACAAGTCAAAATGTAGAACTATTAATCATGTAGACCCTGATAAGTATGGTTTGTATGATTTCCTGGAAGACATAAGTAGAGCTGTTCTTAAGGATTATCTTGGGGGTTTGGGGTTTACTTATTCTATATACTGTGATGTTCCTGGTTTTTATTCTAAGATGTTGGTTGAGAATGAAGCTGATTTGTTGGACATGTTATACTTAAATAGTGAAAGAGTTAACATTAATGTGTATGTTGAGATAGAAGAAGTTGAACCCTTAAATATATCAACTAATATGGATGACCCTTATGAGGATATGGATTATAGAGTGGATGCTGAAAATAGTGAGGGAGAGGAAGAGGATAGTGATGAGGAAGTGGGTGATGAAAACAATGAGGAAGAGGATAGTGATGTGGAGAAAGATGATGTGTATGATTTTAGGAAAGAGAATCAAGATTGGATGACAGAAAGTGATACTGATTGTGTTGAAACTGACAGTGATAGCTCAGATGGTGAGTATGTAGGGTTTCAAGACAATGATGAAGACTACAATGTGGATTGTGAGGATAGCCTGTCAGATTATGAATCAAATGATGAAGCACATTCTGATTCAAGTGTAGAGATTGGTGTGAAATATCCAAAGAGAAATAGATCAAAAAGCAAGGATTGGGATAAAAATATTAAAGGGAAGGAATATGTAAAGGTTAAAGGACAACCTATAAAACTAGAACAATATTTATTGTTTCAAAATGTGAAACATTTTAGAGAGGTGTTGACAGATTATACAATCCAAGAAGGGTTTCAAATTAGAAGACCAAAAATGAGAGTTCAAGGGTAACTTGTGTTTGCAAAGCCAAAGGTTGTCCATGGAGGATCCATGCCTCCCCACTGCCTTGTAAGACTTACATGATAAAAACATATAATGACAATCATTCTTGTGTGAGGGGTGATAAAAATCCATTAGCTAATTCTACATAGATTACAAAGAATTTTTTTAAGAAACTCAAACAAAACCCACAAATGACAGTTGAAAGTCTGAGAACTGCACTGCATGAAAAATATGGCATTAGGGCAAAGAAACAACAATGTTATAGGGCAAAAAGAAAGTCATTGGATGTGTTTGAGGGTAACCATGGGAAGTCATACAGTTTGCTGCCCTCCTATAGGAATGAAATTAGGAGGACAAACCCTGGCAGTTTGGTCACACTTGATTATTATGATGCTGAATTCAATGGAGTGAATAGATTCAGAAGGATTTTCATTGTTTTTGATGCTTTGAGGTCTGGGTTTATAAAAGGCTGCAGGCCATTCATTGGGTTAGATGGCTGCTTTTTAAAGGGCCCACATGGTGGAGTATTTTTGTCAGCTGTGGCCTTGGATGGCAATAATGGTCTATTCCCCATTGCCTATGCTGTGGTAGAAAGTGAAGGGAATGAAACATGGACTTTTTTCTTAGATAATTTGAAGGATATTCTTGGTGCAGATGCACATGCCAAACACTGGACAATTATGTCTGATATGCAAAAGGTATAATTTTTTTCTTTAACTGTTCATTATTACATAGTTCATTATTAAATTGTTCATAATTACTTTTAATTTATTTTATTTTGCATTTCAGGGTATTGAGGTTGCAATTTCTAACTTATTTCCTGAGGCAAGCCATAGGATTTGTTGTAGGCACTTGTTTAACAATTTTAGGAAGGATAATCCTAGGTTGTTGTTGAAAATTTTTTTCTGGAAAACTGCAAGATCATGCAATGAACTTGAATTTAATGATGCAATGAATCAAATGAATGGGATTTGTACAGAAGCTTATGATTGTCTAATGGACAGGCCTTTGGAAATATGGTCTAGGGTGGGGTATGGTGAGACATCAAAGAGTGACCATATCATAAACAATTTGACCGAATCCTTCAACAACTGGGTTGGTCATTATAGGTCTAAGCCAATCTTGAATATGCTTGAGTGGATTATGATTAAATTAATGGTGAGAATCCAGAAAAGGTATCAGAAAGCTTTAGCTTGGAAGGGAAATTTGACACCAAATGCCTGGAAAAAATTAAACAAATCCATTCAAGAATCAAGAATGTGTAGAGTTTGTCCTGCTGGGAGGGAGGAGTTTGAAGTTCATGAAGTGGTGGGAGTAAGTGTGGTTAATTTAAACTTGAGGACTTGCTCATGTAGAGCATGGCAGATATCAGGGATACCTTACAGGCATGCAGCTGGTGCTATTTCATGGAATAGGCAGGACCCTGAGCATTTTTGTGATCCTTGTTACAGTAAGGACACAAATCTACTTGCCCACAGTGGGATGATTCATCCTTTGATGGATGAGAAGATGTGGCCCAAAACTCCATCAATTGACTTATACCCTCCTAAACCAAGAAGATTACCTGGTAGACCAAGAAAAAATAGAAGAAGAGAACAAGGTGAACCTGCCCCTGCAAGTACAAGTGAAGTACCTAAGAGATCATCAGTTGTAACATGCAAGTATTGCCTACAAACTGGTCATAATAGGAGGACTTACCAGAGAGCTCAAACAGCAAGAGAAAGAGCTACAGCAGCAAGAGGGAGGGCTGCAAGTGCAAGAGGAAGAGCTCAAACAGCAACAGTGAGTGTTTCAGTCAATTTTAAACTTGCTATGTTTTGATAAATTTCTTTTATTACTGATTTATATACCTTCTAATTGTTAATTTAGAAAAACATAAAGTCTCAAACTCAAGGATCAGAAGGAGCAGGAACTTCTGGTGTTACACAACAGGTATAAGTCCTTACTTATGTTCACTATAACAATTTTTTAATTCTATGATTACCCAATACTGTACTTAGCTAATTTTTTTTGTTTAAATTTTGTCCAATCCCAAACTACTAGGAGAGGTGGAAGAAATGTAAGTGCAAGAGGTGGAAGAAATGTACGTGCAAGAGGAGCTTCTTAACCAAATGTGATTGGCATTGGTGGTGGTTCTCAACAAAATGTGAGTGGTCGCAGAGTTGGAAGACAGCCAAACCAGAGTGGCATCAGAGGTGGAAGACAGCCAAGTGAGAATGGTATTGGTGTTAATCCTCCACCATGGGTAAGCAATAAATTACCTAATATTTATCCTTATACATATTAATTTATTGTTGCATTAGTATTCTAATCCTAATATTCAATTACAGAGAGAGTAGCAAAAGCAGCAATACCAAGGAAAGAAACACAACAGTAACTAGCAGTTGGAGGCTCCTTAGGTTGTATTCACCATACAACAGTGAGGATTTTTTTATGACCTACTTTGTTTGAAACTTGTAACTTGTGGTTGACAATGGTTATGTTTATAAGTTTGTGGTTAACAATGGTTATGGTTTTTTTTTTTTTTTTTTTTTTTTTTTTTTTTTTTTTTTTTTTTTTTTTTGTGGTTTCTCAGTAATAGATGATGCTTGACTTGTGGTTGTATATGCATGTGCAATGATAATAGATTGATGATGCTTCAATGGTAAATGTACTCAATATAGGTCAATATTCATTGCATAATTTTATTTCAAATAAATAGCAAAAACAGATAACAAGAAGCAAGTAAATACAACTATCTTCAAATACAAAATAGTTGTTTCAACAACTTGTAACCTTGAACCTATGGCTTGTCTCTGCAACCTCAATTCAGCAACAACCTCAAGCAAAAGTTGATTTGTAGGTGAATACTCCTCAGCAGCACCAACAGCAGCAGCACCAATAGAACCATCTATAGGGTTACACCATTCCCAAAAACTACATGTTTCATTTTCACAAGTATAATACAGCCTGCCTTTGTTGCGATTTTTTCATTCTCTGTAACCTTCACTATAACAAAATCCCCACAGCGACAAATCTTGTTCCTATACTGTATATAGCCTCTGCCTCTACCTTCACGACTATTTACGCTTGATTGAGACATCACTTTACATAGGAGAATATAAGAGAGGAAGAGAGGCACTTTACATAGGAGAATATAAGAGAGGAAGTGCAAAAAAACATTGTGCCTATCTCCTATTTATAGAAGCCAAACATGACCGTTGGAGTTGAGGGGCAATCTAGGCATTACCAGGGACTTTGTGGGCAATCTGGGCATTTTAATTGCTTTATAACCTGAAGCCAAACATAACCGTTAATGTTTGTAAACAAACAGAACCGTTTAGGGGCAATCTAGGCATTAAAAGCTCATTTTTTGCTGACATCGGCAAAAAATATCTCTGACCAACTTTGACCGTTGACTGAGGGGGGAGACTGATGTGTGTCAGAAAAAGTAGGGGGTCTGACTGAAGTTTTGCAAACGTGGGGGGGTCTCTTTGAAGTTAGGACATACCTCAGGGGGTGTAACTGAAGTTAACCAATTTTTTAAAGAGTAAATTACATTCAGACCGCCGATGTTAAATCATTTTTCAACTAGATTAATATTTTGGTTTTAGATTTCACTTATATTTAAATTAGTGGTTTAAGATTTCACTTACACCCCAAATGTCAATTTTTTATGGGGTCATGGTACTTTTGAGGTGTTAAATGACTATGATACCCTTTGACCTCATGTTGACTATTATTGTGACCAAACTACTCCCAACATACAACTTTCCTCGACCATCATCATCCCTAATTAATCCATCAATCTCGCCATATGCACACACATACAAAACAGCCATATATATATATATATATATATATATATATATATATATATATATATATATATATATATATACACACACATACAAAACATCTATTCCAAATTAAAGAAATCACATCTTTTTAATATCATATCTTGTAAATCCGTCATTCCAAACACACCATTAAGACTCCATTATTGCAATGTTAGGTGGGTTTATTCAATCAAGTTAAAATAAAGCTGATATTTAGATACAAACACAATTGATTTCAACATAAAGTCAATTTATTTTTAACAATCACAATATTTATTATTTCACTCTATATATATGTAACCTATATATATATATATATATATATATATATATATATATCCTAAGTGAAAAGGAATTAATTATATATAAATAAACAATTATAAAAAATTGTGTTTATTTAAATTTGGAAAATGAGAATAAAATTATAAAATAAAATAAAATAGCACGTAAAATGTCAAAAAAGTACCTAAGCCATTTCATGATGAAAAGGGATCGATCTTCTAATCAGGAGGAGACTCATTGGCAATGAAAACCCGACCAACAACGTTGGTCCGAGGGGCAATGCCACCCACATACGACAGTTCATCGAAGCCGAAAGCTTCGACGACATCGTTAAAGTGAGAAGCAGTTGTTAACGGAAATCCTCTGAAGAGAATACCCTATGTTTTGTGAAGAATAGAGTCCAACCGTGACTCCTGAGCTTTGATTTCAAATGATGATGATGTTCGAACTTTCAAATGAACAAATTGAGTGTGCGAATGATGTGTGTAAGTTATGCCAATGACAAAAAAATAAAAATAATAATAAATGAATAAAAGAATATTCATTCCTTCTTCCTCTAGATCAATCTAGACATATTTTATTTTAGTATTTGGTATTTTTTTTTCTTTTCTGAAAGGTAAAATAATTCTCTTACGCACATGGTCTCCATTAAAAGGGAGAAAGCGCTGGAAGACCTTGATGCTTAATTAGACCAAGTGATTTTCTCTTTTCTACCCTCCTTTCCAGACTTTTGGCCAGCACTCAAGTCCGGTAAGCAATAAGGATCTCTTTATATAGTTTGTGTGCAGTAAGCTTCTTCCTCCATTTCGAAGCTTTTCCAACCAATCCCAACATGTAGTTGTGGTGGGCGTGTTCATCCCTGTGCTTAGCTTCTTGTTTCTTCAAAAAATATGAATGTAGTTGGTACTTCAATTTAGGGACACACAGACATTGGATTGAGATACATTAGAGCCCCCTTGGCAGCATTGTTCAAATGAAAAAAAGATGATACTCATCAAACTAATTTTTTCTCCTGATACAGATCAAATAAAATAAAATGAAAATTTACTGGCTGTACATAATTTTATCTTATCACATGAACGTGTGGATTGAAATAGACTTTTTTTTTTTGGTTAAAGGGTAAGCTTGTATAAAAGAGAGGAAGAAAATACATGGTGCCCCAAGAGGGGAGAGAACTGGAAAGATACAACCCAGCCAAAGAAACTAAACAAATCTAAGCAAAACATAACATAGCAGCATACTATTGCCAACAGCAAAATGTATAACCCATCCAAGCACAAGCAAACACTGCCTCAGGCAAATTCTACACAGCTAAAAGATTAACCAAGGATGCACAGCAGATGATGAACAGGCCTGCACAAAAAGACTGTGAAGATCTTGCTCAGTTGTGATTTGTCTAAGGTTGGAACCCCTTTTAAGCTTGATTGCTGCAAGTTGTGCTCTAGTGCAAGACTTGATTTGAGAAATGATATGCTGGTGTGAGGTGGAGACATTTCTGAAAGCTCTAGTGTTTCTCTCCTGCCATAAGAAATAGATTGCTGCAGAAAGCAAGAGTTTGTGAGTCAAGAAGTCTGAAGAGGTCCAATAAGTTGAGCACGAATGGATTAAATCCATCCAACAATTAGGGATTAACTGAAATCCTGCTACTTCCTGAATGAAGCTCCAAATCCGTAAGCTGAAAGAACACCTGAAGAATAGGTGATCCAAAGATTCATTCTCTGATAGGCACAAGTAGCATCTATTAACATAGTGCTTATGGAGCATTGGTTTTGAATCCAAGGTGTAAAGTCTCCCTCTAACTGCTAACCAAGCAATGCAGCCATGCTTTGGAATATGATTCTTGAACCAGAAAAGTTTGTGCCACACAAAGGTTAGACATGGTGGAGCAAAACAAACAATGGTATTTGAGAAGGAGTACGTACCAGTTGGACTAGGAAGCCAAACAATGTTGTCTTGTTCATCAGAGGGGGGAGGTAATGAGTATAGCTGAGAAAGAAAATTCAAGGATTGAAAGAACTGTGAGTGACTACGTGATAAGGGAATCATCCAATGATTAGTGGAAATTAGGCTATCAACTGAGGCCATGAGGTCCAGTTGAAGAATTTCCATGTCATTGAGCCTTAGCTGTTCCACAATTGGTCCATTGGGAAGCCAGTAATCAATCCATAGCCTTATATCCTTACCACACCCCACCCTATATTTGATAAGCCCTCTAGCCATTTCCCTTAGCCTCAATAAGCTCTCCAAAATCCAAAACTAAGTAAAGAAGACTTTACAGTCTAGAAACTTTTGTCCTTGATTAAGTATGAGTAAGTCCATGCCACCCAAAGGCTCTCTTTCCTTTGACACAGTTTCCAAATATGCTTCAGATTAGCAATCCTAAATGAAATCTCAATATCATTAAACCCCAGGCCACCCAAGATCTTTAGCCTGCACACTGCTGTCCAAGCCACTTTTGCTCCTCTTTTCTTAAGTTCGACCCCAGACCAATAAAAGCTTCTCAGAAGCTTGTTGATCTCATCAAAAACCTTCTTAGGTAACACAAAGGCCTGAGAACAATATGACTGAATAGATCACAGCACTGATTTAATTAACACAGCCCTCCCAGCATAAGATAAAAATCTTGAAATCCAATTCCCAATTCTTCTTGTAAATTTCTCAACTAATGAAGTGCAGCCCCTTGCTCTGATTGCTCTTGAAGACAATGGCAAGCCAAGATAGGTAGCTGGAAGAATTCCAGCTTCAAATTGCAGCAGTGACAATATGGATGATTTAGTCTGGCTATCCATTCTAGAGAAAAATGCTTTACTTTTAGGAAGGTTAAGTTGTAACTAGAGAATGTGCAAAACAAATTGATAGCATCCAGTAATGTGTGGACAGAGGAGAGATTGGCATGAGAGAACAGTAGAATATCATCAGCAAAGGTGAGATGGGTTAAGGTAAGTTTCTTACACCTCCAGTGGTACTTGAAATTAAGGTTATTCCTAATTTTACAACTGATTGTGAGGGATAACACTTCCATTGCGAGAACAAAAAGCAAAGGGGAGATGGGATCCCCTTGTCTAATACTGGGGAAGATCAGCCTGTTATCCCTAGAGTAACTCTTATCCGTTG